AAAAAATATATAGTGAATCTAGATTGTAAAGTAAGATGTAAAATTACTTGTATTTGCAGATGACATGGTCTTTTATATAAAATATCCTGAAAAAAATCACCAAAAATCTATTGAACTTAATAAACAGGCTCAGCATTCTTTAAGATAGAAAATGAATATGCAAAAAATAAATTGTATGCTTATATACCAGGAGCAAACATTTAAAAATTTAAATCAAGAAACAATTCCATTTCCAGTAGCATCAAAATGAATAAATGCTGAGACATAAATTTAATAAAATATATGCTTTTCTGCTGGGCTAAGCTTTGGAGATACAAAGATGAACATGGGAGAACATATGTGTGAATCACATCTCTGGTAAGAATTTAATGCCCAGAATATAAAAAGAATTTCTGTAACTCAATAACATAAAAACCAACAGCTCAATTTAAAAATAGATTAAAAACGTTGAATAGACATTTCTCCAAAGATACAAAAAATGATCAATTAAAAGATGGTCAACATTAGTCATCATGGAAATAAAAATAAGAGCCATGGTGAGGTATGATGCGATACCCACTAGGACAGCTACTGAAAACAAACAAATAAACGAAAATGACAAGACAGCGTTGGCATGCATGTAACGAACCCTGTGCCCCAGTGATAGGAATATAAAACTCTCTGGCAGCTGCATGGAACAGCCTGGTTGTTCCTCATTCAGCTAAACATAGAAGTGTTACATAACCCAAATTCCACTCTTAGGTATATACCCAAAAAGTAGAAAACAAGAACGCAAAGGCACAGCGGTGTGCTAATGTTTATTGCAGAGTTACTTGTAACAGCTGGAAGGTGGAAGAGACCCAGGTGTCCAGCAACTGAGGAATGGATAAGCACCATGCCTTATATACATACTGTGGAATATTATTCACCCTTACAAAGGAAGTTCAACATGTAATTTAGATTTAGTAGACACAAAAAGACACCTGTGATATAATTCTGCTTATATGCTGTACTTGGAACAGCAGAATTCAGGGACAGAAAGTAGCCAGAAGCTACCAGGGCTGGAGGGAGGAGCAATAAAGAATTACTGTCTAATGGTCAGTTTCTGCATCTAGAAATAGTAGTGATGGTTTTACAGTGTCACAGATGTACATAACAGCACTTTAAAAATTGAGTTAGAATTATTTAAAAGTTGAATAGGATACAGTCCCTGTAGTCAAAGAGATTAGCAACTAGTTGTAAGGCTGTGGAGGGAGACAGGCACACTGATAGCCAAGAGCATTAGAAAGCAAACATGGCAGCGGCCCCGCAGCGAAGACCCAGCCTGGAGGCAGCACAGAGTGGGCATCCGCGAGTGCTCTATGCTGGGAAGTGCGGAGCAGGCAGCAGCATCCAGAACTGTGGAGAAAACCAAGCCCAGTTTCAGGTTGCAGCCATGCAACCTGTCAGCCCTGTGACCTTGGGCAAGTTACTTTATGTCTCAGTAACATACTTTTCTCATTGAAAATCTGCCTGCTTCACAGGAACCTTACATGGGATCATGCAGGTAAGACGTTTATTTAGCACAGGGCCTGATGTAGCACAGGGCCTGGTTTAGCCATTGTTATTACTGACATGGTGGCTGTCATTTTTGTTGTTGTTAGTGATGAATCAGAGTGGGTTTGTATAGAAATCAAGTTTGAGAAAGACAGTATATCCAAGGGCTGAGCTACAACTCACTTTCTGAGTCTGGGAGATTTCCGAGCATGGGGTGGGAAGGTAGCGGGGGTAGGGTGGGGTGAACCATTGAAGGATGGGACCAAGGAAAGGGGAAGAGAGCAGGGAGCAGATAGAGAGGATGGCAGTAGGGTTGGAGGAAATTGGAACCCAGGCAGAATGACACGAGTGGGAAGAGTAGGCTTGGTTTATAGGAAACTCAATAGCACTGTCAAGTTTTGACATCTTGCAGTTTTATTTTTTGCACAAAACAATTCCCATTTTGTTCTGGTGAAAGAAGTGATGGGGATAGGGAAGAGGAAACAAACACTTAAACTGTTCCATGTGACACTTTTTTATCACCACCACTGTTTCAGAATGCACCTGACCTGCGACCACTGCCACCCCCATCTTCAGAGGGGCTTAGGGTTTTCAGGGTAGGGGTGAGGGAGAGTCCGGTTGGGTGGGATGCTCAGGCCCCTGTGAATGCCCTCATTGCACCTGGCAGTGTCTTTACTAGTTTCTGAGGAACAGCAACATATACTCAGGGGAAAAAACATCATGACAGGTCCAGAGAGAGATTCAGAAGACAGAAAATAGCTTTCTCTCACTTTCTGAGCAAGGTGTGCGGCATTGTCAGTCAGCACTGGACCCCACAAATTATGATGGCTGAAAAGCCTTGCTATGTATGGTCTTGGCAACTTTAGCATTGACATTGCCTGCAGGTTTATAAGAAGTGCAGAATCCTAGGCCCTGTCTATACTTACTAAATAAGAACATGTCTTCAAACAATATCCCAGCATGACCCCTACTGCATTAAATTTTGAGAAGTGATAGTCTAGAACACACTATGGGATTAAATTATATGACATCTATGATTCTACACCCAATTGTTTTTATCATAGTTACTAAGTGTGGTTTCCCTCTCTTTGACACAAAACGACTCTTCACGCTAGGTGGGATGGAAAGGACAAACAGCTGGAAAATAGAGACACTGAAAAAGGAGTTGCCATGAACACTAAGTTTCACTACTCTGTGGCTCAAAATTACATTTGCCCTGCTCTCTACTCTTGGTCTCAAGGCTTAGCACTTTTAATACTGAGAGCTTTATGATGGCAACAGTGACCAGTTTAAAATAACCTGCAGATCTCCTGGAAATTGCTTTGACCTTTATTTGCATAAGCCTTTAGGGCCCACAAGCTCTCTCTGGAAAAGATGGAAAAGCAGCACTTACCTTTTGTTCTTGACAGAACTGATTTCTGAGCTTGCAGGTGGATTTCTTGGCTCTGTGCGGGTGTTGTTTTAGTAACTTTTCAGGTTTCAGGCAAGATGATTATAAAAATGTGACCATGAAATGAACCCCTAGCCCTTCTTCCTTCCTACCCCAAGGCTTCTGTGTTGGTTACTTTTCTCTAGCTGCTGAGACAAAATACCCAATGCCCAAAGTTAAGGAAGGAAATGTTGATTTAGCTCACAGTTTGTGCAGGTTTCAGTCCATAGGCAGTTGGCTCCAAGGCAGGGTGGCACATGGCAGAGGGCAACAGTTCACGGTGGCAGAAAGCAGCAAAAGCAACAAGAGCAAAGGGGGAGGAGTGGCAGAGAAGAGTAAGCCCCCCCTTTTTTTTAATATACTGTAAGCAGGCTATCCCCATGTGTAGCACTCACATGATCTCCATGCCTTCCTCTTGCACAGGCTCAGGATGAATACAAAGGAAGCACCTTGGCTGCCTGCTGAGTCACATAGTTAACCTTCTAAACTTCTCAAATTGACACAATGAACAACATCCCAGAAGTGTAAGGGCATGACCTTTTCACCCCAGGATGTAGAACTGCTGAGTCACTTAGCCAAACCTCTAGACTCCCCAAGTTGACACAATGTATCAACCATAACAACTTCCCTGGGAAAAAGTGACTGACTGGTCAGAGCGGGTGGGAAGATCAGAGCAGAGTGGACTTGAAGCTTTTGTGAAGGCTGAGGCAGATTTTCTCTTCCAGAGTGGGAGATTACCTGTAGGAGTGGAGAGAAGGCAGCAGTCAGTGATGGGTACTAGTGCCTTTAACATCAGAGGCAGAGCTGGCCATGTACTAGAAAGGACAGGTTATTGGTTTCACTAATTGTAAGGTGCCCTAGCCCAAGTTCATACCCATTGGTTCAGTGATTTCAAATCCGAGTATGCAGCTTGAGGAGAAACCAGAGATTTTTACAAAGTTAAGCCACATAGTATCCATCCCAGTGATAACTGTGAGAGCAAGAAATTCAAAAAAGTGAGCATCCCTAGGAGGTTATGCAAAAGGAGGGTGTATGTGGAAAGCATTAGAATTTGCTTTTATATTGTTCACTTTTAAAAATATGAGAAAGGAAAAGCTTTCCAGGTAAGGAACCTGGGGACTAGGCCTCATTTCCTTGTTTAGCATAAGACAGCGGTGTATTAGATGAGATCCACTGAAACAAACACGAATTTCATAGCATGGGTCCCTCCTCTGCCCTCAAACTTTGCAGGTCTAATTTAGAAATGCATATTACACAGTGTACCGTTTACACTGACAAAGTGAGGCACTTGGAAGGGTGGCAGAGGCAGTGCAAGGGCTAAGCTGCCAGCCTGGCTCTATGGATGACCTGGCCCTCCACCCTCAGTAGTGATCTGGGCTCAGGCCTCATGGGAAGTGGTGTCTTGCAGTTTGTGGACTGTTTCCGTTCACTTGCAGCATGCTTTTTAAGGGCCTCCAGGGGAAAAACTGTAGCTCTTTCAACATATTTCATAACACTTCAGCTTGCACTAACAGCTCTTTACCTCCTGGACCCAACTTTGGCATTCTCCTCCGTTCTGCTGGAGCTGAAGGCTGCAGATGAGCCCCAAGCAACACCCTGCTTTATATTGCCAAAAACTAATGGTCAAGAAAGAAATTAAGATAGAAAGAAAATCAAGCTTACTAGAAGGAGTCCTCAGTCACTCAAACAAATATCCATGTCTTCTGAAGAGTGGCCAAAGACTCCTCGTGAGTGTTTGCTTGTCTCTAGATTCATTTTCTTGAGTTTTCTAGTACAAAAAGGTCATTTCTTAAACAATGATGTTCTGTTTACATAATCCTTTTTGAGAGAGGCTTGTTCTAGAATGTTTTGTGCATATTTAAACTGTAAATAATCTTATCATTTGGAATAAATCTCCTTAACGTGCAGGTTATAACAAAATTCATGTAATTAGTTCTATCACTGTAGCATTACTTGTAGCAGAGGTGGGTTAGCATTTGTTTTCTGGTTGCCCTTGATGTTACCTTGAGTTTGCAGGTCATCTGAAAGTCAGGAAAATTTGTGTGTTAATTTTCAGACACGAGGACGGTGCTCAGTGTGGCTGCAGAAGTGTCCCTGGGACCAACAACTTTCAACAGCGCGATGGCCAGGACCAAGATGAAGCACATGAGGGAGTGAGTAGCACGTCCCCTACCCTCATGGGCTCCAGTGTTGAAGCATATTGACTGAGTGTTGATCAAATTGTGTGATGCTTTTAGTCCATTTTGTTATAACAAAATGCCTGAGACCAGGTAATTCATAAAAAGCATAGATGTAGTTCTCATAGCTCTGGTGGCTGGAAAGTCCAAATTACAATGCAAGCAGTTTCCAAGTGTGGTGATGATTGGCTCTGCTTTCTAGATGGTACCTGATTGCTGTGTACTCACATGGTAGAAGGCAGATGGGCTAAAGGGGCTAAACATGATGCAAACCCTTTTGCTTTTCCAGGACCAGGGACTGGACCCAAGGGTTGCTGAGCTATATCCCTACCCCTTTGTATGTTTTGAGATAAAGGCTCCTTAAGATGCTCAGGATGACCTCATATTTGCAATCCTCTTGTCTCAGCCTTCCAAGTAGCTGGAATTACAAGTGTGCACCACCTGCCTCTAGCATGAAGCCCCTTTTGTAAGAGCCTTAATCCCATTCATGAAGTAGACGCCCATACCACTCAATCACCTAAATGCCTTACTTCTTAAAATCAGTGCACTTGACCTAGAGTGGTGGCCCATACCTATAATCCCAGCACCCAGGAGGCTGAAGCAGAAGGTTCGCCATGAGTCGGAGGCCAGCCTAGGCTACATAATGAGTTCAAGGCCAGTCTGAACTACGTAGCAATACTCTCTCTCAAGAAACAAATGCAAAAACGAAAAACAGTGTGCTGAGCAGCAAATTCCAAGATTTACAGTGCCTGGCCCCTCTCTTGAAACCTGTCTGTGTTCAAGGTCCTGGCACTGTGGGACTGCATTGGAGAAAAAATATTCCACTAGATTATTTCAACACATGAATTTTGGAGGGACACATACATTCAAATCATAACATTCTACCCTTACCCCCAAATTCATATCCTTTTCATGCACAAAATCTTTATTACACCCCAGTATCCCCCAAAGTTTTCATTCACTTCAGCATTAACTCAAAAGTCTAAATTCCAAAATCTGACCTGCATATCATCTGTCTCAGAAGTGGCTGAGACTCAAGGCTGTGATTTATCCAAACTCCCCTTTTGTCTTTGTGCCTGTGAAATTAAAGAAGTCCTGTACTTCCCAAACACAGTGGTGGGATACATGCCAGATAGATATTCCCATTCCAAAAGGGAGCAATAGGAAAGAACAAGGGGTATCTAGTCCAAAATAAATTCAAACACCAACATGGCAAACAAAATAATACCTTGAGACTTGAGAAGAATCTTCTTGTGCTGCATGCCCTATCTTCCAGGCATGGTGGGGTGAGAGTTGGGCCCCCAAGACTATAGGCAGCTCCATCTCCACAGCTTTGCTTGGTGTACCAAGGGCACAGCTCTCCCAGGGTAGAATTTCATACCTGCGGTTCTCCCAGGAAAGAGGCTGTACAGGCCCAGGGTCTCAGGGGTGGCCCTGCTCCCACAGTTTCGGTAGGCATTGCCTTAGAGGGAATATCTGTGGCAGTCCTACCTCTGTGGCCGTTCTCTGCCTGGGCCCCAAGGCTCTCCAATCTCCTGTACTCTGTGCCCCTGCAGAGTTGGCACCATACAGACTCTACCAAGCCTTACCACTTTTCCCTTCCAGAGCAGTGGCCTGAGCTCTACCTGGGTCTTTAAACCACAGCTGGAGTGACTGAGGAACACTGTCCCAAAGGCACTGAGCAGAAATTTGACCCAGTGCTGAGCAGCAACTTCCAAGCTCTTACAGTGCCTGGCCCCTCTCTTGAGACCTGTCTGTGTTCAAGGTCCTGGCACTGTGGGCTGTGTTGGAGCGGCAGCCTCACAGATCTCTAAAATGCCTGCAGAGTCATTTTTCTCTTCTCTTAGTGAATAGCAATGGCTTCCTTTTACAGCACAAATCTTGGTCAACTTTTGTTTATCCACACCCTCAACACACGTTTTTATTCTTTACATAGCCCGACTGACATTTCCAAAATCTTGAAGGTCTGCTTTCCTTTTGATTATAAATTCCATCTTTAATGCATTTCTCTCATCACATTTTACTATAAGCAGTGAAAGGAAGCCATGCGGCACTCTCAGCGCTTTGCTTAGAAATTTCTTCCACCAGAGATCTCTGCTCACTGTTAGCATGTTCTGTCTTCCAAAATGTACTGGGACGTGGACACAATTCAGCCAAATTCTTTGCCACTTTGATAAATAGGAAGGGTAAATTACAAATAGTACTTTCCTCCTTTCCCCTTAAGACAGCTTCTGGATAGTCTTTCCTATCTGCATTTCTACCAATATTCTGTTAATGGCCAATTAGATAATGTCTAGCTTTCCTTTTTGTCTTAGTGTTCTTGTAGCTGAGACAAAATACCTGATACTCAAAGGTAAAAAAGGGAAGGTATACTCGACTCACAGGTTGAGGAGGTTTCGGATGGCTCCAAGGCAGGGTGGGATGGCACACAGGCATCGCAGAGGAGAAACTATTCACGAACAGTTCACAGCAGGCAGAAGACATCAAAAGCAAATGTCAAACAACCAACTACAAGTAACTACAGTGAGCCTCTTTCTGTCCCTTATATTGTATCCAGGCTACCCACCCTAGGGCAGGTGTAGTACTCACACCCATAATCCCAGCGCTGCACCCTGAATCAGTCACGTACTCTAAATCCAGCCACTTCTGAAAAAGCCCCACCTATGACCACATGAGGCTTTGTGGAACATCTAAACAAAAGGCATAACACTTTTCTTTTGAACCTTTACTGGAATAATGTTTTGAAGTCCAGCATCTACCTACTATCCAGTTGCAAATCTACACCCACATTTCTAAGTATCTGTTACAGTAACACCTTACTTCTTGGGACCAAATTCATAATCCTTTATTGCTGTTATAACAAAACACATTCAAGACTGAGTACTTCTCAAATAGTGTGAATGTATTTCAAACAGCAATAGATGCTGGAAAATTACAGATCAAGGCATTAGCTGAGTTGGTGCTTGAGGAGGGGTCATGATGGAACCTTAAATGCTGTGTCCTTGTGTGACAGAAGGGATAGAAGGGCTAAAGGGGGTTGGGTAATTCTCTCCTGTCCATTAGAAAAGTCAGTAAACCCACTGATTAGGATGGAACTCCATGGCTTAATCTGCTCCTATCCTCCTGTTGCACTGGGGGTTAAATTGTAGCATGAATTTTCTGGGGACACAACCATTCAGGCCACTTCGTCTCTATAAAACTACAGGTACTTTCCTAAGTGGAACAGAGGGTATAACAGGCAAAATCTCAGTGAAAAAAAGCCTGACTCTCCACCAGAAAGAGCTGCTACAGATTTCTCGGCAAGGAAGAGATACTGGGCCACCTAGTCTTACATTCCATGTCTCTTGATAAGGGGGTGGCAAACTTTCTATGTAAAGGAGTAAACAGTAGATACGGTAGGCTCTGCAAACCTATAGTTTTTTTAATAATTACTTAGTTCTGTTGTAACACAAAAGCATCCAAAAGTGATATGTTAATACTACATTAAATGGCTGTGCTTTTAAAAAAGCATTATTTTGTGATTAAAATGTGAATTTCATATAATGTTCAGACTTCCCAATATATAGTTCTTTCAATATTTTTCTCTTTTTGGTGATTCTGGGGATAAGACCTCATCCATGCCAGGCAAGTGCCCTGCCACTGAGGTGTACCCCAATCTCTCCCTCACACCCCAAATCATTTAAAAATGTAAAAATTCTTAGTTCCAGAATACACAAAACAGTAGTGGGCTAGATTAGGCCTGTGGGCCACATACATTACAGCCTCAACAATAGATATTCCAATTAAGATATTTCTATTAAAATATTCTGCCTATATTGATACTGATTGAATAGTGAGGGAAATTTAGCAAGAATTGTTTTTCAGTTGATTTGCATTTATATTATTCTTGCAATACAGCACATCATCCAGACTATTGTTTTCAGTCAAAAAAAGAAAAAAATGCTAAAAATTATTCTAAACCTAAAGCTGTTATAATATGTTCCAATGCTTATTTGTTCAAGTCCTGCCTGCACCAGAGTGTGAGTGGTCATACAGTAATATAGTTGCCATAGCAACAAGTGATTCTCAGGAATTGAAAGTGAAGGAGTTTAAACTAATCTTTCTTATCTCTACCTACTTCCACTTCTCCTTGCTAGGAAAAGATCATGTAGAAGGATTTAATCACCTTCCAGTTGATAACCTGTAAAGAGAAGAAAAGTGGTTCAGTTATTTCATTCTTTTAACTTTTTATTTTATTAGTACACATTTGCAGTTGATGCACTTTACAATCACTTTAGGGAGTGGTTACATGCACATACCATGGCTTGTTTCTGTTATGATCCCCTGCCTCTTCCCCACTCCATCCTTCAGTTCTCTGTCCCACTCATCTTATTGGTATTATTACTCTTAGGCCATATTATGTCATATATTATATTAATTGAGGTTATTAGATTCTGTACACAGCAAATCTTTATTCTACTTATTTCCCCTTCTCCTCTGTACCTCTTGGGTCACTTCCTTATTGCAAGGGATCCATCTCCTTGTCCCCTTCTATCCATCCTTATTATTTTCTTTGTAGTTTGCCTCAATCAAATGAGAGATACTGTATGGTATTTAAGTGTGTGTGTGTGTGTGTGTGTCTAATTTATTTCATTCAACATTATATTTTCCATTTTCTTATAAATATCTTGAATTTATTCTTCATTATAGCCAAGTAGTATTCCATTATGTATAGATATAACATTTTCATTGTCAGATTATCTGTTGATGGGATACAGGCTGCTTGCAGGACTTAGCTATTCTGAACTGTGCTGCTATAAACATGGGTATGCGTGTATCATTGTAGCATGATATCTTAACCTTTTTGGGGAAGATACCTAGAAGGGAGATAGCTGGGTTATAGGATGTCTAATTTCAGTTCTAATTTCAGAAATCTCCATACTGATTTCCCTAATGGTTGTATTAGTTTACCTTCTCACCAACAATGAAGGAGGGTT